GCCAATGGTCGAAGACTTGTTGTGGGAAGGCCTGTCCACCAGTAGCGGCACGGAGATCGGCAGTGAAACCGAAGGACTCGTTGACGGGAAGGTAAGCCTTGACGTTGAAGAGAGGAGTACCAACACGCTGGTTCTCCTCGAAGACGTGACCTCTCCTTCGGGTAAGGACACCGTAGATACCACCCATGGCCTGCTCGGGAACCTGGATCTCGACGAGGTAGACGGGCTCGAGCAGAGTGGGCTCGGCAAGGAGGGTGGCGGCGTAAAGGACACGGCGCGCAGTGGGGATGATTTGACCACCACCACGGTGAATAGCATCAGCGTGGAGAGTGACATCCATGATGTTGAAGCGGATAGAGCGCATGGGCTCCTCAGCAATGGGACCTTCCTTGGTGGCCCACTGGAAACCAGAGACGACGGAGTCCTTGATTTCACTCAGGTACTGGACGGCCTTGGTCTGGTCAACGAGCAAGTTGGCACCGGTGGTGTCGGGACCGAAGCACCAAATCTTACGGGCATCGGTGACATCCCAGCCGTGCTCGTCAGCAAGGATACGAGCACGCTGCTTGATATCGTCACGAGGAGCGATCTTGCCAGCCTCGATGGCCAGGGAGACGGCCTCGTCCAAGGGCTGAGCAGTAAGGTAGAGACGGTTGTGCTTGTTGGGCGACTTGGACAGCGCGGTGATACTGGAAGTGGCGTTGACAGTCTCACGGTACTGGACGACGGGGTCGGAGATACGGAGAGGAACACCGGCGTGGTCCTCCTCGAGATCCTTCAAGCAAATCTCCAAGTGCAACTCACCGGCACCAGCAACAACGTGCTCACCGGATGGGGAGATGTAAGTCAAGACACAAGGGTCGGACTTGGAGAGACGCTTAAGACCTTCAACGAGCTTGGGGAGATCCTGGGCGTTCTTGACCTCGACGGAACGCTGCACGACGGGGGAAACGGAGAACTTCATAACCTTAAGGTTGTGGGCAGTCTCGTTGGTGGTGAGGGTACCAGACTTGAGCAAGAACTGGTCAACACCGACAAGACCAAGAATGTTACCGGCGGGAACGTTGTCAATAGGCTCAACGAAACGACCCATCATGAGGATGGTACGCTGGATGGCCTTGATGAACAGGTCCTCCTTCTTTCCGGGCTGGTAGTTGGGACCCTGAATGCGGACCTTGAGACCAGAGCGGACGGTACCGGAGAAGACACGACCGAAAGCGTAGAAACGACCCTTGTCGGAAGTGGGCACCATCTTGGAGACGTAAAGCATGAGAGGACCGTTGTGGTCACAGTCCCGGATACCGATGGCGTTAACGTCATCGTGGGGACCCTCGTAGAGAGTCTCCATACGGTACTTCTGGGCGGTGACGGGAGAAGGAAGGTGGAGAATCATCATCTCGAGGAGAGCGTCAGCGGCGGGAAGGAACTTCCTCATGACAACCTTGAGGAGCTGCTTGCCCTCGAGGTCCTTCTCATCGGAGGTGAGCTTGATCTCAAGCTTCTCGAGAAGAGTGGGGATCTCGTCGGTCTTGAAGTTCATAACAGCCTGGAAGATGCGGAAAATGGGGTCCAAGATGAACTGGTTGAAAGCACGCTCGAGGTTCTTACCCTCGTGGGTGCCGACCTTGGTCCACTTCTTGGTCTTGGGGTTGAAGTAGCTGTCACCCTACGTTCTGTTAGCAACTGCTGGAGACTGTCTCGATCGATGTGCTTACCCAGAGACGCTCCATCATCTTGTTCTTGTCGACACCGAACTTCTTAGCGTAGCGGGTGGCGAACTGACGGATGGTGAAAGCCCAGCCGTGAAGACCGGAACCGAAGGCGATGGTACCCTTCTCGGGGTAGACCTGGACGTCACCAAGAGTCTTGTCGAAGTAGGTGGCGATGACGACGTTGACGGACTCAATGACACGGGAGAAGTTCTGGTACAGATCCTCCTTGGAGAGCTGGAGCTCGAGAAGAGCACGGTCGACCTTGTTGATGATGACAACGGGCTTGATACGCTCACCAAGAGCCTGACGCAGGACGGTCTCGGTCTGGACACAGACACCCTCAATGGTGTCAACGACAACGAGAGCACCATCGGTGACACGGAGAGCAGCAGTGACCTCAGATGAGAAGTCAACGTGACCGGGCGAGTCGATCAAGTTGATCAAGAAGTCGTTCTTGGTGGTGGGAACGGGGATGTCCTTGAGGTCCTCCTCGTCCTTGAGCTGGGCGTACAGGGAGATGGCAGTCGACTTGATAGTGACACCACGCTCCTGCTCGTCAGCTCGGGTATCGGTGAAACGAGCCTCACCAGCCTTGGCGGCCGAGATAATACCGGCACGCTGGACGAGCGAGTCGGTGAGGGTGGACTTTCCGTGATCGACTGTGGTGGGGTATATTAGCCATCTTTCCTGTCAGATACTGCGGGGTCCCACGAGAGCGCTTACCGTGGGCAATAACGGACATGTTCCTAATGTTCTTAGGGTCGTCCATGAGACCACGGATCTAGCCGCGCAGTCAGTATCCATCCTTCCAATGTTCCCGGTATCGAAGTGTGATGCGGGGTGATGTGTGCGCGGAACGTACCTCCTCGACGGTGAAGCTGTCGTCATGTTAGCAATTGTTCGACCAATTTCACAGACAAGAGACGGAATGTTCGTGTCTGGAGCGAGGTGGGAAGGGTCGGCAGCGACTTACTTGACCATCTTTGCGGTGTTGTACTGCTCTTCTTTTACGAAAATTCAGTGGTGGGGAGATGTCGAATACCCCGCTTTGAGCGCGCGGATTCGGTGTATAGGTCGCGGGTTGAGCTGATGTCTCTGGCGATGCAGTCGACCAGAGTCAGACAGACGGAGATTGATATAGGCCGTAGAGGCAGGCGTGCGTCTGGTTGAGAAGAGTTCTGCGAGGGGGAGCGAAGGTTTTTAGTAGAGCTAGTGGTGGGGTCAGTCGCGCTTTCTCGCTAAAGCACGGCCCACTGGTGGCGCGAAGTAACCTTTAATGCCCAAACTGGCTATGCTGCGGCGCCCTTTCCCTCTGCACTCCGCACAACATCCAGCTCTTATTTCTGCTGTCTTGCCAGAACCAAGGGAGATGACTCCACTGATCTGTTGTGGTACTGCCAGTTGTTCGTCTGGGGATTATAACGCAGCGGCCCAATACATGTCATTGGGCGGTGCTTGCGACAAGTGTGGATCATGATCGGGGGAAATATCGTCACTGGTAATTTCGACTGCCAAATTTGGACTTGCAGCGGAAGAATGCATGGCTGCATGTGCCTCAGTTAAGCATTTCTGGCAAGTCTACGCCTTGAAAAAGCACAAACTCTCACGAGAGTCATCATGCATCACTACAACGACTACCGTTACATCTTTTCTTTTCCACAAAGACGCCTGGTGACGGAATTCCTGCCGACGCCACAGTCGAATGATGACCACGCCAACCTGACTGAGCATTTTGGGAGATTCGGCGCCCTCTATGAATCATATCAACTTGACTCTTGCTTCCTGATGAAGGCAACTGGATCAAGATCAGACGCTTTGCTAGTGAGCGCTTTGAAATCCAATCTGAAGGCGACCATTTTGCGGGCTGGTGTGATGTTGCGCTTATCCCCGGTATCCCCGCAGTCTCTCCAGAACCACCTTTCATCTGCGCCTAGTATTCCAGGTCATTTTGTATTGCAGGTTTGTGATATGCATATGAGCACATGGGAGCTGGATATGAGAATATCGTATTTAAAGGCATATTCCGGATGTGATCACTATTCAGTTGACAAGAGCAAGCCACTGCGTTAACTTTGTCTATGTAATTCGTTCTAACAAGGAAAGACAGAACTGCTTCAAGACATGCCATGTCCTTCCTCAAGGAGACCGAGGAGACCGAAGAGAGCGGTCAAGCCACGAGTTCCACGCTCCAGAGCCACCACCTCTGCCTCTACCATCACGGTAGTTGTTCCACCTGCCACCCCTACCGCCTCTCGCTCTTCCCCTTCCTCTTCCTCTTCCTCTTCCTCTGTTGTTTCCATAGTTGTCACCAATGTTTGCCCATTGATGTCCGTCGTTCGCGGACAGTGTGTTATTTGCACTGGGTCTTTGTTCTTTATAGACGTCTCTTTTCGGAAGTCGTTCTTTACTTGCTTGGGGTTTTGCAAGTGAAGATAGTTCTCCTGCTGACGAGACAACTGGCATGCGATCCGGAAGGACGAAACCTGTCGTTTCCTGTAATTCTTCTCGTCTTTTGGAACTATTGCGTATGGCAGTGCTCTGTCGTGAAACATCATTCTCGCCTCGTGGTACAACAACGTGGGCTTCTTTCAGAGCAGAGGGTGTGCAATATTGATCGTCTGGGGGAAATCCAGTGTCGCCTGGTTCGTGACTACCGCAGTCGGATCCACGATGGTGATTTTTTCTACCACGGCGCATGATCCTGCCTCCGCGCCGACCACTATGTCCTCGATCGTCAAAGCCCCTGCTCCTGTCTAGAGGCGTGCATTGACCAGTATAATCGAAGTTTCGTTCGTGATCCGCTTCGCCATGAGAAGACATCGATAACCTTGGTGGCAGACGCTCTGAACTCGATTCTCGGTGTTGCGTAATTTTGCTGCGATATATGTCGCCACGTTTCTTTCGATCCTGTAGGCGAGGTCGTTTGCGTGAGTCTCTACCACGTCCTCGATCATTTGACTCCCCATCATCGAATGAGACATTGACATGGTCATCGGCCCCCCTCTGTACATTGCCTTTATCCGAGACGTTATCGAGTTTTACAGCTCTTCTGGATGTGTGAACATTGCCATCCGTTCTGGAAGCTGGCTCGCTATCTGACGCCACCTTGGAGCGCTTGCGAAATTTATTCCAGTAGTCTTCTGTGTGACCAATGCCCGCGCTGCTTTTCTCGTCGTTGGCAACGCTGATAAAATCCTATTAGTGAAATTTAGCTTCGTTCCTTTCATGCGTGATAAGACAGCGCAAAAATTGAACAGCAAAATCCAAACGCGAATTCCATATCTATACTCAACGCACTCTGCCAACTCTTGCTCTTTCTCTCTCCCTATCATCCGTCCTTGATTCACTCGATATCGGCACCTCTACTTCGTACTCTTCTTCCTCGAGCTTGTGAAACTTCTCAACCTCGGCGCGTTCATCGTGTGCACGGGCTGCGTCCAGCATGAACCTGACCGTACCATTCTGACCGCGAATTCCGATTGCAGATTTTGGCGCTTGATCTGCGGCAGGCGAATGTGCGATGGGGGTAGCTGGTGTGAATGGGCTTGTCGGGTCGATGCCGTTGCGAGGCTTGGCGCCGTTTGTGGTGCTTCCGGCATCGGCAACAGACTCCGACTTGTACCGAGAATAACGTGGTATATTCGCTGCCGAAGCCTCCTGATTGAGTCCAATGCGGATGTTGATGAAGTGCTCAAGTGTGTAAGAGGGTCCGACCGAGGTTGCGCTGCGGTGATGGGTGTACAGGTCGAGTAGATCAAGGAGGGTCTCCATAATCTCTGCTCGACTAGTAGCCCACTTGCTGTACCTTACAGGTCCCGCATCCACGAATTTCGTAGTGTCTTTTCCATGCAGCCGTGCGGCAAGCTCTAGACACGCAATAGCCAGAGTCGGTGTGGACTGCTTCAGCGGTGCAAAAGTCCTGTATGAATCGATGCTCAGGTTCCAGGTTGTTTTGGCCTCGTCTTTCGCGTCGAATCGCAGGGCCCTAGCAAGCTTGACCATGACTTTCTGGGGGTATCGATTGCGAAAATCGAAGCCGGCGCTTTCGAGCATGAGCCGTTCAAGGCCGATGATGAGTTTGGAGTGGTTCTCGAAGCGCTATTGAGAGGTTAACCTTGATCCTGCAATGGCCATTCCTATCAAGAAAGGTGCCTACCGGATCATCGCTACTTAAGCTCTCGCCAGGGCCAACCTTGAGGTTCCAGTGAGCGCATAAGATTTCCCTGCTCTTCTTCAAGGTGTCCTCGATTTTACACGCTGTGAAGAGTGCTGCGGCTGCCGCATCTGCCCAATTGTACTCGTTGTCCGCGTGCAACAGCCTGAACTTGTGGTAGTAGATGACGGCAGTGTTAAAGGTGCGGATGGGCAGTTGGAGTGCGCGTCGCACTTGGTCTATCCAGGCGACGCCTTGCAGACGGACAGCATCCTCTTTGGCATCGCTCATGTGTATATCTGACAGACATTTCTGCATACGCGACTGCAGGATATAGGGCTTCGCAACTTCGATATACGATGGGTGTGGTCCAACGCGCTCATTATCGCGCTCCAATGGAGAGGCGGCGGGCGCCATGACGTGAGCTTGGGTGCGGATGCTGCAGTGAAACTATTACTTTGTTGTGGCCGCGGGTGTGGGCGTTGGTTGAATGATGCGTGGCAGTGCGCAGTTGGAATGTATCCTCGTCCCGGTCGCAAAGTCGCTCGAGAAATCCTAGGAGTTATCTGCGATCCACGAGGACTGTCTAGGGCCGGACGAAGCTCGAGTCGTTGTTGGCAAGCTGGCGGTGGAAGGTTGCAGACTATCGGCATGTGGAGTAGACCAAAAGTTCATGGTCATAGCTTTCGTCACTGGCCGCGAGGCTGGTGAATACGCGCGGAACTTGTAAGGCACAATTTCATGACAAGACACAACAAGACTTCGTTGCTATTATACGTTCTTCGTGCAATTATCAGTGTCCTATATGAACCATTCCCTCCCAAGCCCATCCTCTCGTCCCATTATTAATTCATCCCAGCTTACACTGTACTCATGAAGCCAACGGGCCACTTCTCAAGAAGCGCCAAGGGCCGTAATCATTATAGTCTAAAGATGCAAGACCAGAGCACAAATGCAACTCTGTCTTGGACGAACCAAATTTTGAACACCGGAATCTACGGCTGCAAATGCAAGAAAAGATCGCTCAAAGTGCGCATCACGTAGAATGAAGCGTGAATTATTATGCTGTAGTTCGGTCCTTGAATGTGAGGAGGCAGTCATCCTATGGTTGGTTAGCAACAATCCCTCGTACTATGCCATGAGTCCAGACTTACCATAGGGAAAATAGTGGCGAACACCTTGATCACCTCACTTTGGTCGGTAACCTGGTGGTCCCAGTCAAGCAGCATACTAGCCTTGCCAATCATCAACATGAGGTTGGCTTGCGCGTATGTCTGACCAAGGCAGTAGTGAGGGCCTGTACCGAAAACGAGCCAGTTCTTGGTTTGTTGATCAGCGTTACCAGTGATCCATCGCTCGGGCTCGAACGAGTCAGGGTTGGGGTATGCTTCAGCATCGTGCAGCGCCATGTATGTGGTAGGAATGACCATGGAACCCTTGGGGACGGTGTATTCGGGTGTTACAGGGAAGTCCTTCTTAGCAAGGTAAGGAACCATGATGACTGGAGGACGGTAGCGGAGGGTCTCCTTGACGACAGCGCGGGTCCATTGCAGCTTCTCGATGGCATCAAGCGAAAGCGTCGCGTGAACGTCGCCGTTCCTGGCCTTGATGTTCTCCTCACGGATTTTGTCGAGGTATTCCGGGCGGTCAGCCATGATTTGGAAGAGCCAGGTAGCGGCAGAAGAAGTAGCGTCCTGGGAAGCGAAGAGGAAGGTGAAGATAGTCATAGAGATCTCAATGTCACTGAACCAGCGGATGACGGTCGCGGGCTTCTCAGCGTCATCGACCTTCTCGCCAGCCTCAATCCTCTTACGGTACTTCTCGGATTGGATCATGTTGTCTACCCAGAAATCGAGAATGCACTCCTTCTTGCCACCGGCGGCCATACGAACCTTGCTCTTTGCGGCACACTTTGAGAACTCGTCCAGAACCATGTCGGCGCACTTCTTTCCGTACCAGGTCTTGGTGAAAGGGATAATGATGGGGAAGTTGACAAGTTCGAGTGCAGCGGTAATCAGATAGTAGTCGTCGGCGATCTTCTTGACAGCCTCATCGGAGCAGTAGTGGCCGACAAAGGTACGGCAACTCAGAGCCGTGATCATGAGGCGGAACTCTTGCATCCAGGGAATGTGCTTGCCCTTGTTCTCGACTTGTGAAAGCTCCACGAAGCGCTTGAAGTATGTGTTGTAGATCTCTTCTTGGCCTGGGAGATACTGTTCGAGCGCCTGGCGAGTAAACAAGCTGTTGAGACCCTTGCGATAGTCGACGTGGGCACGACCATCCAGGAAGACCCAGTTCTCGGGACGAAGGAGTTTGTAGGCGACATCGACAACGCAGGGCTTGACAAAGGTAGGCGAGTTGAAGATCTTACGAGCCATGTCGCGGGTGGAGGCAATGACAACGAACCTGAAGAGCGGTCAGTATGGACAATCTCAGAGCGGACGCACGAGTTACGTACTTGTGAAAGACGGATACACAGCTCAGAGGACCGGAGGACCATTTCTCGTGGTACTTCTTGAAGTCGGGGTTAACGGACTCCAAGAATGGGCCGATGAAAGGTATTTTCCATGATGGACCGACGATTGAACCCTTGTTCCATATGTACTTGACTGTAGCAGGGTCAGCAGTGTCCGGCGCAAACGTGATGGATGTGGTGCGTACACTGGTCGTACGCCACAGCCGTTATGATGAGCGTCAGGAGGAGCTTCCACACATTGAAACCGGTGAAGACAGAGGAAAGGAGGCCGCTGGTGTCGAATTGCTGGATGACGTGCGCAACTTTTGCATCCGCCGTGGGCGAGACGAAACTCGCGTTGACCGCCATGTTGAAGAATTAGGATCGCGCCGCGCCGTGAAATGTACAGAAGAAAGCGCGAAGATCGCGGAGGGGAAGACGTAGGGAAACCACGAAGAGTCAATCGAAGCCGTATTAAATTCCCACGCGAGAACAAGGCCCAAAGAGGGTCTCCAATTGTTTAATTGCAGGGCTTGGCGCAAGCGGTGGCCACTGCAAAAGGAGCCATGTCAATCACATCAACTTTCGGAATCTAGTGCGTTATAGGCCTGGCGTTGCACGGCGATTCGGATTTAGCGCATCCGGGCGCGCGACGACCGGTCTCGCATGGATGATGCTGTCGTATACTGGACGGCATTGTTGGTCGGCCGATACGGTCATACGAGCCATGCATGTCGACGGGAAACGTTGTCGGAAACTAAGCCTAAGTCGTGATCTGTGTTAGAAATCCATTCTATGTCTCAGATCTCGAGATCTAGGGACCGCCCCATTTGGTGCCTGCCCAGCTTTTCAGGCACACGGCCAATCGGCGCTTTCGTCCGCACTGTGAGCATTGTCAGCACTGTTTGTGGAACTCCAGTTCGTAGATCGCATGTCAGCCACGCCACCTGATGGATATATCATCGCATGATACGGTGGTAGACCCTACGCATACACAGAATAACGAGATCAAGGTTGCTGAAACTGCAGCAGTGGAAGTCGGTGCAACATCTCTGCTGCATGGTAACAAGGCTGCATCCAGCCTGGATTGGTGTAGTAATATTCTTTAAACAACGATAGTGCCGATACAATGGAGACTGCAACACCAGCGCATCTGTGCGCTTCTATACTCAATCATTCATTCTTGCGAGGTTGCCTTGAAAAATTCTGGCCAATATCTCCCGTCACTAATAGGGTGCGTCGCCCTGGTAGCTAACCACGAATCCATGCCCCATCGCTGACGAAGAAAAGGAATTAGTTCACTAACGGGATAACCCCGGAGCGCTTTGTGTTCTATAATGCCCGGAATCGCAACGTGGAACCTCCTCATCTCCTCAGCAAAATACCCGTGAACACTCTTTTCCTGCAATTCGGTTAATTTACGATTGAAGAGACAGCCTTGAGGCAGGTGGCATATGTTGTAGGGAAGGTTGAAGTAATGGGTCATACTTACGTGCTCCCATTGTTCCTTTGTCAACCCGAATATTCCAGTGATATCGCGCGGGAAGGCCGAAATGCCCTCGTCGTAGTGCGTAATCTTGACGGAGATGTGGTCACAATCGTGCATCATTGTGTAGACTGGGTTTCTGATGCACTCCAAAAAGTTGACATAATTGCATTGAGCGGCGAGCCCGGTCCTCACATCACCGGCAATCGGGAACTCAGTGAGAATGATGAATTCAACATTGATTCCGTGCTCATGGCGATGCTCTAAGAAGACTCTCAAACCTCGCAAGTTGGCTTCAGTAAAGCGTAGGAAACGCTGTTCGTATGCATACTTGTCGTAATCGGTCATATCGTCTTTTGGCATGTCCGAGTGGAACTGTTCGAACTTGACGCGAATCTGGAGATTTTGGATATGTTCTCTGGGGTAAACCGGTAGTGGTAGCTGGAGGTCCTTTGGTACTTCCTTAGGGGTGCCATCATCGTTACAACCCACCATATTGTAGCCAGAATCGCGCTCTAAGAAGTATAGTATTCCCTGCTCGACGCTGCAGACGGAGAAGGTGTTTCGCGCATAATACATCTTCTGTATCTCGAATGCGATTTCTGGGCCCATGTATCTAGGGTCCAGGAAATGGCTGTATGGAAGTGCCATATCACTCGGTGGCTTGTGGGTATGCACTTCTTTGATCCGACCATCAGGAAGTATAGTATCCTCGTCTTCGTGATCGAGTCTGAGTTGGTCGGCTGGAGTTGATGATATCGTCTCCATGACACGTTCAGTAAGGCCCGAAGTCATTCGTGTATCATTACTGTCGATAGGCTGGGACGAGCCAGTCTGCTGGTCAGATACCTCTCCAATCTCAACATCGACATTCGCACTAACGCCAATATGGGGTGCATAGGCTGGGTCAGTTCTTGGTAGCGGCCAGGTGGACACGACGTATGGGTGACGACTAGTCGGGACGAACCTATATCGAGGGTCGTGCAATGGCCGATCGTATTTACGGAAATGGTAGTACGGGCCCACAGGTATGGGACGGTCGGGTTCGACGCAGAGGAGTTCGTAAATCAGTTCACGCAGCTCAACGGGAAGTTTCTGATGCATCATGGTCGCAAGTTGCAGGCAGTCCTTCCTTGCATAGTAGAGTACATGTTTCCGGTAGATGAGATCGGCGGAGCGCACTTCCTTTGTAGCTTCTCGAAGCTCACGCTGCAACTTTGCAATTCTACTATAACGTCAGCCACTCAAGTATGTGTGCAAGTTATGCATGGGGTTTTTCGATTGTTGTTGCTCGCGCTGGACATGTGTGCGCAACGGCACAGAAATAGGTACACTTGGTGGACTCACTTCTCATGCTGGGATTGCGACTGCGCCGTCATGTGACGCAAAGGCGCTTGTAAAAGCCTGAGATCATTCAGGCCATCCATTTCGCTATATTCACGCGATAATATTAGGAGCCCGTGAGTTTGGAATCACAAATGCTGTGGAGAGTCCACTGCAACCCCACATTCTAGCGCACCCCGCCCATTGGCCAGTCGTAAACGCGTCGCGTAGTCACGCCTTTCGTGTTCACCCATCTCAACATCGGCATGGGTTGACATGGCCACTATCAAGGCCATCGAGGGCCGCTCTGTGCATCAGATCCAATCAGGTCAGGTCATTGTTGGGCTGGAGTCGGTATGCAAAGAACTTGTCGAGAATAGCATCGATGCAGGCGCCACATCGATTGGTATGTCTTCGCTGCACGATTCCTGGTTTGATGTGAGATGACTGACGTGGAACACAGAGGTGCGCTTCAAGAACCACGGGCTTGATGCCATAGAAGTTCAGGATAATGGTTCTGGCATTGCACCTGACGACTACGACACCATCGCCCTCAAGCACTATACGTCCAAACTCGCTAGCTACGATGACCTCGAGTCGCTCCAGACATTCGGCTTCCGCGGTGAGGCTTTGTCGTCGTTATGTGCACTCTCCAACTTCCACATCATCACCACTCGACCTTCCGACGGCCCGAAAGGCACACGGCTAGACTTTGAGCAGTCAGGCAAGCTGAAGGGGACGTCTGTGGTAGCGGCTAAGCAGGGTACAACGGTGGTGGTGGAGACACTATTCCACAATTTGCCTGTACGGCGGAAGGAGCTCGAGAAGAACGTCAAAAGGGAGTACAATAAAGTGCTGCAGCTGCTGAACGCATATGCTTGTATAAGCGTAGGCGTCAAGTTCTCTGTAAGCAATCAGATACCGAAAGGGTGAGTACGGATACTCATTTCCACCATTCTTCTGCTGTACTGACATGGTCCAAGAAAGAAGACAGTAGCTTTCTCCACGAACGCTAATGCGAGCACGCGTGACAACATCTCCAACGTCTACGGCGCAAAGACGGTTGCCGCCCTGATCCCTCTTAGTCTCCAGTTCGTTATGGACCCTTCAAGTCGGCCTGGTGCCACACAAAGCGCAAGGAACTGGAGCACGCAAGAGGATTCGGGCTCACGAACTGTCAAGATAGTGGGCCACATCTCCCGCCCAGTTGTGGGCGAGGGCCGCCAAACGCCGGACAGACAAATGTTCTTTGTGAACTCACGGCCTTGCAATCTGCCACAGGTTGCGAAGGCATTCAACGAGGTCTACAAGTCCTACAACATCACACAATCACCTTTTGTCTTCGCAGATATTCAGCTGGACACCAACGCTTACGACGTCAATGTGAGCCCCGACAAACGGACCATCATGCTCCATGATCAGACTGCGCTGTTAGAGAACCTCAAAGAGGCTCTTTTGGAACTATTTGAGGGTCATGATCAAAGTGTCCCTCAAGCTCAACTCCTAGGCCAGAAAACGCCCACGTCTACCTTCAAGCCAGCGACCATGCAGTTTCGTGAGAGCACTACCTCAGTAATGGAGGGTGACCGAAGCGAATCGGAAGATGCTGTTGAGTCTCGCCTGGAGACCCCAAGGAGATCTGACATGAGATCTGTTACAGAAACGCCCAGAATAAGCGATCTTCCAGGCTTTGTGAAAGCAAGTCTCATTGAGCGATCCGCTGACCGGGACCCTGAAGACCGAAAAATTCGTCCAGCGATTAGGTCCAGGAGAACCAGCACGCCTGAGGACAGCAAGGTGACTGGGGATCGTGTGTCGAATTCTCACATGTCTCAACGTAGCACTACACCTGAGCATGAAGACTCTGTCCGTCCACCACTTGCAAGGTCACAGTCGCCATTGTTCGAACCGGAAGAGATGACCGACGTGCCCGTCCGACTTTCTCAACCTCCGAAGATTGTTCAAGATTTCAACGCCCGTATAGCGTCTCAGAGTCCTCGTCAGCGCGAGCCCAGCAGCAAGCATTCACAACCTGTCGAGGATGGAGAGCATGAACAACAGCCAATTCCGGCTATCGTACAAACGCCGCAAAAGTCGTGGTCACAGAGTACAATTCAAAATGCATTTGACCGCATGCGTCCCATGCGTACTCCGATCCAACAAGCCACGATAACTGTGGGCGACACAACGACTGTTTCTACAATCGGCACCAGAAGTCAATCGATAGCCTCCAAACGAGCTAGGATACACACGCCAAAGTTCTCTCTTTCTGGCAAGCCATTAGATCAGACACCAAAGAAGAGTCTATTCAAGAACGGTCTAGGTGGCTTTGCGGCACCGGGTACCCAAGCAGAAAGTAGCGACGAGGACGATCAAGATGATGAGGAGGATAGAGAAGAAGAAGAGGATGGCAATGAAGTCACTCAGGACAGTAACATGTCTGATGCACCTATACGCTCTCCATCTCCAACCAAGCGCTTGCCATCTCGAGGATTTGAAAAGCCCCAAACTGATGACATCACAGTCTCTCCCAGCACCCCAGCGCCCGATTTAGAAATTGTTTCGGAACAAGATCAAGTAGCGGAATCAACGTCAGAGGCCGAAGCCGAGGCTCAAGCAGAAGCGGAAAACACAGATGACGACTACATCGAGGACTCCGAGAAGAAGCAAAGAGAAGAAACGAAGATTGCGCAGCTCATCGCTGAAGCCGAAGAAGCCGCTTCCCGACCCACTGACATGAACTTGAAGCGGGTCAACAAATTATTCAAAGTCAGTCAGAAGAAGTACTGGACCATCAATCTTGAGCGCGTTGTCGAGACGGATATTGATGCTATTGCTCGGCATATACAGAACATACAAGCGTCTATCGATGCCTCTATGCCAGGAACCGATGAGGTGGCTGCGCTTCCAACAAGTACTCAGCTGAACCAAGAAGACCCCGAAGAACGACTTAGTCTTACAGTAACCAAGGCTGACTTCAATGAGATGCGCATTATTGGTCAGTTTAATCTAGGCTTCATCATCGCCGTGCGACCACCTACTTCTACATCGCCAACATCAGATGTGTTTATTATCGACCAGCATGCGAGCGACGAGAAATACAATTTCGAGCGTCTGTCTGCGACGACAACGCTGGTGCCACAGAAACTCGTACATCCACATCCTCTCGAACTCACTGCTGTGGAAAGAGAGATCATTCGCGAGAATAAGCACTCGCTAACCGCTAACGGGTTCGTCGTCGATTTGGAAACCATAGACGAGAATGAAGCGGATCATCATGCGCAGCTAGTCTCGCTGCCCATGTCGAAGGAAGTAACATTTACACCCACGGATTTAGAGGAGCTCTTAGCACTCATTCTAGAGAACCCACCGTCATCCTCTACTTCCACATCGCGGCACATACCACGCCCTTCCAAAGTCAGGAAGCTACTAGCAAGCCGCGCCTGCAGGAGTTCCGTGATGATTGGTAAGACTCTTCAGCCGCCCCGGATGAGAGAGATTGTTCGACACATGGGCAGTATGGACAAACCCTGGTCTTGCCCCCATGGTCGGCCTACCATGCGTCATCTTTTTGGTCTGGAGAAGTGGCAAGGCTGGACCGAAGGAGACGGTGTGACAGGGGTTGACGTACAGGGAGCGAAGACCGATTGGAATGCCTTCCTGAAGAATAATACAGGATGAAACCTGCTTCATGCACATTAGAGCCAGAATATCCTCATCTCTTCCTTGCGACGCGTTAGGATTTTGGCATCTCGGCTTGACAGATTTTGATGGTCACGAATGGCCTGTATTGTTGTACCATTAGTAGAGACAATAGTTTTCGTATTGACCTGGGCACGGATTCTCCAATTCTGTATTCTTACAATCAGAATAAAGTCACATTCCAGAGCGTACTGCCAATCCAGGTCGTGGCTACTCTTCTAGATGCCGTAATTGTCGGACACATGATTACAGCATTGGAAACAACATTTCTCAAGAACAGAGAATGGAGAACATAGAAGCAGGGGTGGGAACCGTGTAGAGAGCATATTGCCAAACATGGCGGTGTTCAATCACGCATCTGAAGCCGTTCGCTCGCGGTTTGCTTAACAGCACCGTGATGAACTGGCTGGTGTATGATGAAAACATACTTGCTATATCAATAATTTTCCAGCACACCGCATATAATAGCAAACACACATCTACACTTCCTTGCTATGTACAAGGTAGAAATATCATTCCAAAGCTGTTAGACTCCTTACGGCATACCTCTCGACTCTTCTAGCCATTCCAGCTTCTCTCATTACATATCTGTTCTCCTGTTTGATGCCAACCGCTTTCTACAAACATGATTCAGGAGAATACCATATGGCTTATCGCAGGTTTCATGGCTCTGTCGATCTACCTAAATGGCATTCTAATTCAGATGGGTTTCCCTGATCCGTTTGCAGATCCGGATGAGTGGGATGACAGACCCTAAGGACTGAGTATAAATGATTATCATGATGAAGATCAACCAGAAGCTGAAAAGAAAGAGCAATAGTCTGGAATGATGGGCAAGCCTGGCTATGTTCAAACAAATCACAGTTTATTGAGGATTTTATCTGGCTTTCCTTGTTTCCCATGCGTCAATTATCAATCCAGTTATTCTGTCTACTATCCATTCGAAGCCATGACGTCCGAAAGTAGTTCCTACTCAGCTTCAGCCAAAGACTTTTCCTGGGCAAAAGCTAGCGCGCTTTGGGTCATAGTCATCATCATCGCTAGTCTTATCCTCCTCCGGATAATCTACAATATTATAGGAAGGATACTGAAGCGACAGTACAAGAGAAATCGAGAGCACGAGCTAGTTGAATTAGTGCAACAGCGAACAAGACTGCAGCTAAGTGGCAATGATGCAGGTATACAAAGGCCAGCACAAGCATTGACCAGAAGAAGTAGCGAAGTCTCGGTATTACCGCGGTATGGTACCGAACAAGGGGGATTGTATGATCAATATGTTGAGGTCAAGAAGAAGGGGAAATATAGTTATGTGGTTGCCTATCACTGGCCCAGTTGAGGGACGGATCACAGAAAGAAATAATGTGATGTGAAGGGATGATTTGGTAGAGGTTCTGGGAACACCGGGAGGATGACATGCTGGCATTGAGCATAATAACATGAAGAGACAGGATCAAGGCGTTCTATCATTTTCAGTGGCCTCCCTATTGTATCCCTCGCTCTTCTGCTCTCTTTGTAGCGATTTGGACATCGTACCAACAATCTAGTGCCTAAGCAGTGTTCTGCCGAGCTCACTCGTACCTGCGCCCACGCTTATGATGGATCAGTTTTACGAGATCTTTATGCTGTTTGGCATTTGTCTCGCCACCCCGCTCATGATCTACCTTATCTTTATAGCTGTGAAGAAGCCCATGCCAGTCCGTAGCTGATCATGTCTATTCAAAGAATACGAGAACCTACATGGTACCGGAAAGTTTGCACGACACGGCGATCGGTTTTACTGAGTTCACGAGCAAGCTCTGAGTCATGATGGTGAACATGGGGAAAATCGTGTACCTAGCGTAAAGTAGGTGGTGGATGATTGGTGTGTAGCAAGCTACCCGCACACCTAGAATGTAAAGCTTGTTCGCGACTCTTCTGTCTTCCTTTTCAGTTGGCCGTGATTGTGCTCAAGGATAGTACTGAACAACAAAACAAGTCGCGCGAAGGTTCACATACGTACGTTGTTGCTCGTCACAGCCCATGACATTTGCCATTGGCTTCACTTCTGCTCTTACTGATGTCACAATCTCCCACACTTGCGCTAGATTTCGCAAGTTTCGTTAATTTCCACCTTGTGCACCGCTTTTCATAGCCAAATTCGCACTATTGAGCCCAATAACAAAAGAGATACTACCAACCATGGCAGATGACCCGGTACCACTGATCTGGCGCTGGATACTCTTCAAGGAGTGGCTTCGACGTCTAAGAATCAGAACGCGCAATCACCACGGTGGACCTAAGAGAAGAGATCCCCAATCAGACTTATATTACGATTTCAGGACGACGAAACCAAGACCAACGCAGACGGCAGAGAATGCACATCCTGGGGTGCAGTATTACGCGTAGAAGTAAAGGAACTAGTATTGGATATGATACGATGTGCGGAGAAGGTCTAAATAACGAATCGTAAGCGAAAGCGATGGGGATCAGGAAATTTGACCGAAGACCGCGTGGGTGATGATATCGCGCTGGCCACTACGGATATTTCTGTGAGCTGAACATCGGATCTCATCACAAAATCGTTCTCTCAATACAAAATGATTTCTCATCTCAATACTTTATTTTGCGTTTGCTGTTCCGCTGTCAACAGCACAATAACAGTGCGCAATTTGTACGTGTGTCCACGACAATACGCTTGCCATCCAATGCTATAACCCCATCAGTATGTCTGAGTTCAAGCTTGTAACGCTCACGAGATGGAGGTCGAAAGCATAGTGGTGATCTGCCTGATCACACTCGTAGTCCTGATCGTCCAAATTATAGTCACTCTCCGGTTGTTCTTGTATCTCTACATGGCTCACGAAAGAGACGAAGAGCAAGGTTTGCAAATCCTGGATACGAGAACTGGGTCTGGATCTGCCCAAGAAGGTGCTGGACCATCATCTCGTCATGAACCGAAAGCTCTTACAGTGCCTGGATCTGCATATCCTACGAGCTCTATGTATAGTGTTCAAAGCGACAACAGCGACTTATCTCCTGGCTCCGAAGATCACTGTCACTCTCATGCGCCAGGTTCATGGGACGGCACGAGTGCCGCAGGCCGGAGGAGATATCTCAAAGACTTCCATATTGGCTTAGAGTCCGAGTCTGAAGCCCCCTCTTACGAAACAGCCAAACGTGCGAAGAAGCAAGACATTTTGAACGAAATATGGGAAAGAAAAGTATAAGGCTGTTGGGTATGCGCTTAGAGTACTTCTCCTGAAGTCGCAAATAGCATGTTGCACGTAGTGTATGTAGTGGTTCATAATCTTGTCGTATCAACTTTGCACTAGTCATAGTCAACGTTCGAAGAAAGCCGAGCTCAAGCACCTTAATGTCAAGAGCAGCTGGCATGATCCATAATCCCAACCGCCAAACATCCCACACTTCCTCGTGCTTTCCCTTCTTCGCAGTCGAAATCTACCTCTCGTTGCTCTTGTGGGCCATTTGCAGCTATAGTATAGAATCTCCACGGGAAGAAGCATGGCATCGCCAGAGCTCGTGTCGGATGGTATCAGTAGCGCGTTGCGACGATGAAGAAAGCAATCTTATGTGCACTGGTATCCAGCAATCCAACATCCATAGCAGGGGCTGGGCTGATGGCGACCACACCTGGGGTGTCACCAGAGAGGAAAGCGAGAGAAATTCAGTTCAGTAGGCATGATTGATGGATCTGTTTGTTGCATGCTGGCGATGAGCTGGAGGCGGAAGACCAGCAAGCGGCTGCGTTTGCATCGCGCGCTGTAGAAATGGATTCTAGCGTTCGCCTGGGAACTGGATGGCTGGTGGAGAGATTGCCTCTACATTTTGAGTATAGGCGTTGCTTGAGGGGTGCTCGTAAGGGAATGAGGCATCAAACGAGTGGGTGTATGCTATGTAGTCTGATCTGCTCCATCATCGGAAGCTCTATCTGCGGAAACCCTCTCGCATCATTCCTACTGGAGCAGGTTTTGCAGTCTGCACTAAAATACCATGATATTCAAGCCTCAACGCAGCCTTAAGCTTGGACTGTACATGGTTATGGTGACCTGTAGCGTCGCCAAAGTACCTACAGTCCCGTTGGCGACTGTGATTAGACAGGAAGTATTCGGTTGGCGGAACAATTGGGTGCTGGATGATTGTCAGAGGAAGCTGAAGATCAAGATATTTGGGTATCCTCCAGCCAGAGAGATGACGGATGAAGAATATTTCGGATGGACAGCATGAAATACTGCGCTAGAAATGGTATTGTATTTACAATTACTACACGACGAACAAGTCAGCTGTAAGAATTAAAACAGATGCCCGTCTACGCATCCTCAGGTCCCATATCGAAGAAAATGAACTCAGCGGGCTTGTCGCCCACACTCTCAATCTCGATCTTGTTTGGTCCTTTGACTCCATCGATGTACGCGCCATCACCTTCTCCCAATACTGTCTCTCCAATCTTGATCTGTGCTCCGCCCTGCTTGGGCTGCGACCGCCCGCCCATAACAAGATGTGCGTAAAGCTTCCTCGGCCCCTCAGCAACGACTTCGTGTACGACCTTCTTGCCCGGAGAAAGAATCGATGCATCCATGCTGAGGTCAGCCTGTAGCCCGATGGCGCCCTTGCTCTGGTCTAGGCGATCTGTGTATTCCATTATCCGGACCAACTTGTCAGTCTTCTCCTCATCGGTGAACTTCTTCGTCTCGTAGTGTGGCTTTAGACCTCTCTTGTTCGGCTTAGCCCAAATTTGGAGGAAGTGGACTTCGGAGTCGCGGTTACGGTTGTATTCAGAATGGCGGATGCCTGTGCCGGCGGAGGTGAACTGGACTTCGCCACGCTTCAGGTTCTCGAGATTGCCCATGCTGTCTTTGTGTTCGAGGACGCCGTTGACGATGTAACTGAAGATGAGGAATTCGGCGTGACTGTGAGTTCCTAAAGCAGTTGTCAGTAACGACCATGGGTATAATTTAGTGATGGAGACGCCATTTACATAC